GAAATCGAATGAATAAGTTGTATTGCAAAATGTTACTGGCATTATTCAGCATATAAATCATTAGAGAGAATTTCTGCACACAAAATTGTCAAATAAGCTTCTTCAACAAGTAGTGTACGGTAGAATAGCGCCAAAACATGGAAACAAGCAACCTGGTTGAATAGTGAGACCGATATCTTCAGCTAAATGCTTTAAAATGCCGAAATATTCATCAACCACCGATAAAAGTTAATAGCCAACATGTCTTTAAAATACAGTAAAATAATATTAGCACAAACGATGCCACAAGTCTTTGAGCACAAAAGTGAAGTCAAACTAACCTGAAAATTGGAGTATAAAGAGAAAAGGTTTTATGTGCCAGGCAGTCTTGGTTCAAACATCGGAAAACTAACAACAAAGGTTTAGATCTGTTAGATATACCTCTGTAGATATGTCTAAACGTCCATTCTGTGCCATGTAAATCTTTTGCAATAAGCTCTTGGGAAGGCCTCTGCAGCTTATAATCCTAAATCAAAAGGAGACAGAAACAAACACGTTTAAAACAATGTTCATGCCAAAGGTTGCAACCAATCAACCAACCCATTTTAAATTGCACCAATCGTGAAGTATCTGTTTCAAATTAGGAACTCTAGATATATGCCATCATGAGCTCCAATCAGAATAGCCACAAGTTGAAGAGTGTCTAGTCACCAGGGGAGGGAAACAGTCCTCGGCGGCACGGCGGGGCACAGAAAACCCTCCATGGGTGCTCGTGTCAGAGGCAGTGAGGGTTTTGCAGAACATGTGTGGAACAGAGGATCGGCTTATACATTCGACATCCTCATCTTCCTCGTTTCCTTCAACCTCACCCTTCTTCATTCTTAGTTCAAATTCCTGAGCCAAGAAACGACAGTAAGACACAAGAAAAGAATCGTAACACCACCAAAGCACAGCTCAGATTAAACTTGTTCCATGTTACACATTCTTTACGTTTGGTCAGGCTTTGAAATTGGCCATGAAGGTTTATGTTGCCTAAAATACTTTTTCTTGATGCAGGATCAACTACATATAGTCAAGCTCATACCTTTAGAAGAGATAAGCCAGGCCTTACAACTCTATCAAATGGCAAATCGAGAATAAGCAGAAGCCTTTACCTCGCTTTCAGCAAGAAGAGAGAGCTGGGCATAGACCTCGTCCGTAGCCGCATCAGCCTGCGTCCATTGACGACTCGAAAGAACCAAGGTTTAGAGACGGAAAGACCACCTTTTGAAAACCTAAATGAAAGATCGAAACCAGGGTGAGATGACAAACGAACATGAAGCTTGACGTCGACCACAAGGCAAAACACATGAGGCGGCACATCGCGGCGGCAGACTCCGCCTCTCCGACCACCGTCCTCCCCAAAGTGCTCGATATGTCCCTGCGGGAAGTACACCACCAAGCTTCCCTTCTTGGGCAGCCATATCCGGGGCCCCGCGCACGCGTGCCACAGCTCCAGGCACACCGGCGTCACCTGAAGCGCGCGATCCACCGGTGTCGCCGCGGGCGGCGAAGCGGCGTGGTAGGCCGGCTGCTCCGGCTCTTCTTCCTCCTCGTCTATGGTGTTCAAATCGATCCCCATTTTATCCGAACCCAAAGAAGCGAAAAGCCCAGGTACCGAAGGCGAAACCAAGCAAGAGAGGAGCCAAATTCAGGGGAAGAAGGGACAAGTATGGGATGTGGGTTAAGCCAAGGATTATGGAGGGAATGAGAGCACAGGCATGGTGAAGCGACGCATGAGAGGGGGCGCTAAAGGTGCCTAAAGAAGACAAGCGTGGGAGGCGGGAGACGAGCGGAAGCAGCCGAGTCGAGAGCAGAGCAAAAGAACAGAGAGAGCATCAGGGCGAGGTAGATAAATATAAGAGCTAAATACCAAAAAGCTTTGGCTTTTCTTCTCCTCCTCCTCCCTTTCTCTTTCTTGGACGCCCTAACCATGCATAAGCTTTGCCAATGGAAAGCGGGTCAAAAGCGATCCGTACCCTGTGTAGCTCCGACCTTCATAACTCCTTCCCTCTTCTTCACCTTCTCTTTCTCTATTTCTCTGTGTCTCCCTCACTACATACGTCTCATTTTTAATCTCTCTCGGTTGCTGTCGCAGCGTCGTTTTGATGCGGTCGTCGTCGCAGCGGCTGCTGCTCCAGAACAGCAGCTGGCTCCGTGTCAATGCTTGAATCAAATGGAAAGGAGAGAGAGAGAGAGAGCGAGAGAGAGAGGGAGAGGTGCGGGAGGACGCTGTGTCTCGGGTTATCACTTCACTTTCGCCTCGCTTTTCTCGGTGGAACTGTGTTGCTGGTGCTGGTGCATTAGCTTCTTCTGCAACGGCCGCAGCGGGCGCAGAAGGGAGCAGAGATGGGGATGGATGGCAGCAGAGTTACCGGGGGCCGCTTGACTTCGGCTACTGCCGCGAGAGAGACCCTTTCGCTTATCCAAGCCCTTTTATCTGTGGGTGTCCTCTCTCTCTCTCTCCGTGCTACATCAGATGACAAGACGTAAGAGCTCATTTGCTTTTCCCCCGGTCGCTGTGCCTACTATCGCTCGATGCTTGCCTCCTCCTGCCACCCTTCTTGTAGGTCACGGCCGAGCTATGGAGCAGTACTCTAGCATTGTTTCGACGTGAAATCACGGATCACAGACTCCCACTCCCTTGTTGCTGTTGGTGGTTGTGGGAGAGGGGGAGACAGAGGAACGAGCTCAGCACGTGGACGATGCATAGAGTATCTTAGCCGGCAAGTTTGGAGTTTTCACTTCCTCGACCGCCATGCGCAACCCCTTTAAGAGGAAACAACAAGGAAACAAAACAAAATCTTTAGAGGTTCGCAGGCATGAACGTCACAAAATCCGCACTGATTCCTCCTCCTGAGAAACTTACCAACCGCGACTGTTCTCGTTACAGCGCTGACCACGAGGACCTTTGAGCATCTGTGTTGTTCATCGTCGCTGTGCCTCGGAATATTGCTCATCATTCAATCGTGTCATGAAGCTTATCCTACCAACCACGTGCAGGCCGAATCCCTTGAAAGATTTGGAGGATCTAGTCGAGTCTTTGCGACGAATATTACACATACCCACACTCGGAATTCCGAGCTTAAATTTGCATGCCTCGGGAAATGAATGATGTATTAGGTATGACGTATTTCATCCCTATATTTTTAGCTCCCTACATGTTCTTATGTATTATTTTGTTTTGTTTCATCTAAATGCTATTCATAGAGCAGCGGTTATAAGCCATTACCACTCCACAAACAAGTGAGCCCTCCCTTCTTCTCCATGATTGAAAGGAATGGCAGTGTCATAAAACCGAGACAGTGGCATAACGAAATCTAGCTCCTACTTAATTAATGCTGCTTGCGTTCGCAACTGTGGGGAACGGACACTCGCGGGTGTAAGCACACAGAGGCTCACATGGTGGGGGTCTAAAGCACGTACTTCGCTTTAACTCTCTCTGTAAGCCTGTGAGCGTGAGAGCATGGGAGGAGGAAGAAGAAGCCATGACTCTCGCTGGTCCAAAACAGCCTAATTCTGTGTTCCCTTTATAGGAACAACCCCCAAAGAACCCCCGGATAAACCGGAACATCACACACTGATCTCCCCCACTCCAAAGACCCTTTCTTTTCTTTCCCACTTCCAGAGCCTGGAGGTTCTTTTATGGCTGACTCTCTCATACTTTATACGCAGATGCCTCACCTGTTACCAGCTAGACACCACAGGCCCCATTTTACCTTCCCTGTCATTGGCTTTTATCATCGGAGGCTTAGAGTAGTCTCGCCTGGAGCTCTTCTTTCCTTTTGTTTTTTTCTTCCTCTTGGGTCATAACATCACAGAGAGAGGGAAAAAAAGACAGAGATGTGACGAGTTGATAAAGCAAGGAAGCAAAAGGTGATGGGAACATTGATTTGGAGTACTGGCGACCGGGGTAGGAGGAAGAGGGAGCTGGGCCAGCTTTGGTGGGCATGAGGTGGCGCACAGGCTCTTGTCATGATGATAGCAATTTGGGTGCCCCCACGACCGACCCCAACAGGGCTCCGAAAACGGGACCCCAACCCCGGCGGTGAACTCTTTTCCCCCTGTCTGCTTTGTTGGATTTGTGCTTTGTGTCCCCTCCTCCCTGGTGGAGGCAGGTGGATCCACCTTCCTTGGTGCACTGAAGAGAGATCTTCTTCCACTGAAAAGTTGAACTCTCTGTCTCGTTATGGGGCAAGTCTGCGAATCTAGACATCATGGTAAGATTACTCCAATGTACATTGATCATAATGTTCCATGCTCCTACATATGTCGGCAATCGACATGGGAGGTCAGGCTCATCATTTTCCTTTCAGCCACACAGCGGAGGATGCATGAGCAAAACAGACATTGGGACAGAGAAAAGGACTGAATTCATCGATTGCCCAATGATAATAAGAATTTGGAGATTTTTTTTTTCTAATGCAATCAATTGGCCTCGTATATATGATTGTCACAATCTACAATAATATAGTTTTTTGGATCAGTAGTTTAGACTCAACAAGTTAATCGATTCATCATCACATTAAATCGTGCCGTACTATTAAGTATAGTGAAGGATTCGAATAATTAAGGGATAACTTTGGATGAGGTTTGGATTGTGATGTTTACAGTGTTTGCTCATTATTAAAATGATCACCTTAATCTACTTTACCACTCTTTTCTTTGGAGGCCCTAAAAGAACCGAATTCAGTGCCATGAGGGAGTCATCGAGATGATAAACAATTGAGTCATGCCTCACTTTAGATTCTATCTCCAATAATTTACTGTTGGATTACATATAAAACAGTGACACCAAAGAGGGAAATTAGAGGCTAATTGTAGGTCAAAAAGACTGACACTTGTCGACTTACATATGGTTGAATCATCCACTTGCTGTTCATTGATTCTTCGGTGCTAATCATTTCTTCTTCTCCGATGGTGAAAAGGCAATGATCAGTGTAGTTCTAATGAAGATTTGAAAGCTTTCCAGTTTGCACTGGTGAAGAAGAAGAGAAAGAATTCCATCATCATAATCCACTACAACTTTGGTTATTACATTCTAAGTTTCCTGTAAGAAAAATCATTTCTCATCAATCGAGTCATCTCAGTTCTTCTCAGCTTATACATGTGACCGGAGTATACATGGGGTTGTCGTGAATGCTGCTTGCGGTGCTCGTAGGTCTTCGGTTCATCATCTTTTTCTCCACCCCCTTGTTTGTGTAGTATCTGAACTGGTGCAGCGGAGTGGAGTTAGAATCAAGGAAGTGCAGCATCGTCACCATGAACACCGAGCAAGCAAACATTGGAATGGGTCCAAAGATCCAAAGCAGCAAGGTTGTGGCGAAGTACATTGCTCTCAGACCCATCGACCAGAAGTTGCTGCCCCTGATCACTGCTGTCTGGACGTAGCTCACGGGTATGTCGGAATCCAGCGTGCTCATCATGAAGCTGGCGTGGACCAAGTATCGCGCCGACTGGATGAAGCAGGTGAAGGCGGCCAAGAAGCAGATGAGCAGGGAGACGTACTTGACGGATGAGGTGGTTGGGCTTGTGTCCCCGTAGACGACTTCGGTCATCAGCACCTTGGAGCTGCTCCCTATCCAGGTGCCGATGAGGGAGCTCAGAGCAATGGAGAGGGAAGCCAGGTTGCTGGATGCTGCTATACTGCTTGCGATCACCTGCAGAGCTATTCCAGATTCCTCTGGAGTTGTCTGTACAAGTTACCAAGTAGTCAGCTATTTCATGACATACGTCTTCGTGAGAGATCGACAAGCTGAGATTTGATATGTGAAGGACTCAACAGCGGATTTTGGATAAACAGGAAGAGGTAATCAACACTAACCTGCAACATCCGCTCGACCCAGGCTCGTTTGTTATGGTTCTCGTAGCCAATCACGGTGGTGTGGGGAAACCTGAGGATCCTGTAAAGAAGGAAGAGATGGTACCCAAACATCATGGCCAGCCCAGCTGGGACCAACACCAAATCTATGGATTCTCTATCCAGCAGCATCTCTCTCTCTCTCTCTCTCTCTCT